AAAAAAAAAAAAAAAGTTTCAATTAATCAGCTACTTTTTAAACCATGGTTGTGTTGGGAATGTGTTTTTTAAATTACAGCCAGATCCTTCAACATTTGTCTTTAAGTAACTATCAAATAACAAAATATCAATGGCTCTCTAATACTTTGCCTTGGAAAAATATAAAGCTTAAAATAGATCAGGAGAAAAACAAATAACAATTCCTCATATTTGTCTTACGTCTATAAGACCTCTCATATTTATTCTACCATTTTGTTCCTCACAACTATTCTAAGAGGCGGNCCAATTCCTCATATTTGTCTTACGTCTATAAGACGTCTCATATTTATTCTACCATTTTGTTCCTCACAACTATTCTAAGAGGCGGCAAATAGAATTAATACCATCTTATAGGTAAGAAAGTGAAGATTCATGGTCTCCTTCCTGGGAAGATGGAAAACTAAGGCTTAGACTTGGGTTTTCTAAAGCCCAAGTTATCTCTTCTTTGCATTGTCAGGCTTCTTATGCTTGCCTGATATACATAAAACACTTTCTTTAACAAAAACACACCATGTTTGCATTTATGCTGCAGCTGAGGGCCGTGATGAGTTCTGGGCAGACCTTGCCTGATCTGCCTTAAATTCTCTAGCACACACAGCGGACCACATGACACAATAGACTTTTGGTATATTCCAAAAGAACGAAGGAATATATTGTCAAATTGCTTTGTAAAAGTGCTATTCTGACTGCCTGAGATGACAAACCCCAGCCACTTGGCTGCAAGGGATCTCTCAGCACCGTGGGCTCTCCGAGGTCAGAGTTTCACAGGTGGTAACATGAGGAGGAACAAGAATGAAGAACAACACGGGGCCTGCCAGCGTCCGGGCCTCTGCACAGACACACAGATCCCGTTAAAGAGCTCATGTCACATACACGCAGAGCAAAGCGTGCACCAAGGAGTTCTGGATTCACTGCTATAACTACCTCAAAAGGGCTAAGACGTGGCACGGCTGAGGCTATGCAGGGGGCTGGAGGCTCAGGGAACTGAATGCGCGAAAGCATTTTACCTGTTGGGGTCAAGGTCACGTGTTAGCATGAGACACATAAACTTGCTTTGCTTGGAAAACATGTTTGTCGGCAGGAGAAACTCAGTCACTTTGACCTTTAACCCCACATTCTCCTGTCTTGCTATATATATGTTTCCGAAGGGGATTTGAAAGTCATTTATTTTAAAAATCCAGAGACAGAGAGCTATAAGAGTCCAGGATTCAAAACTAAGGTCCTAAGTCAATTTATTATGATCTGAGAGGATTTTCCTAGTTGAAGAAAAGAGGCAATGCTAGCAGGGATGGTTTGATTTTCTAATAGCCCATATTAGCATTTACTGTACACTTTACTCTCCTTCGGGCTATAGGTATGGTGCCTAATTCATTAAAGCCATCGAAGCAAAGACTCATTTCTGAACATTTTGGGGTTACACAAATGTCTATCATTGTCCACTGAGATTCCTGCCAAAACCAAACCAAACCAAACGAAACCAAACCAAAACTTGATACCTCCTTCCTCTGAGTAACACAATCTGAAAAATGTAGATCACAAAACCAAGTGTGATATTATGCCTATTCTAAGATTTGACCTTTTGTGTTGGGTGTATTTTAAACATTAATATTCAGATATACGAGTCACTCTTTACTAAGCACTGAGAATGACAAAGTAGCTAAGTAGCCTTATGAAACCATTTTCCTGTACCCTGAAATTCAAATGTCAAAAATCAATGCATGCTGGAAGCTTCATTATCAGTATCAGTCATCTTTCTAGAAAATTCAAGAATGAGATGAACTTCAAAAACATCTGCACTCAATTCCACTGAATTCATTACCCTCATGATTCTGTCAGTTATTCTTTGTCTGATTTGAAATCCATAAAAGGGAAGGATATGGTATTATTTGGAGATCTCTCAGTAATTTTCAAGAGTTTCTGTAATTTAGCAGAGCTATTTTTTTCTTAACACAGTGATGTTTTTTAGCATCTTTAAGTCATTCATGAAGCACCTTTATTCTGATATATTGTTTTCTAAATCAAGGAAAAATTTATGTTCAAATCTTAACTATAAATTTTGAAAACACTTGTGTAAACAATACCCAGTTGAGATATAAAACATTTTCATCACCCCCAGAAAGTTCCCTCAATGTCTGCCAGTGAATCCCACTCCGTGTAGGCACCCATGGTTCAGATTTCACCCAGCACAGATTAATTTTGCCAGTTTTTGAACATGACGTAAATGGAACCATACAGTATGCATTTTTGAGATTTATTGTTGTTTGTATCTACTCCATTTTTTTAATTGTCGTATAGTATTCCATTCTATACCTTAATTTATTTATCCATTTCTGTCTTTGATGCATGTTTGGACTGTTTCTAGTATTGGGCTATCACAAGTACTACAGCATCCCAGGCAGGAGTGGAAACAAAACAGAAACACTATAGAAAAAAATGCATACTTGTCTCAGAGACCACAGGCCTTTCCCTGTATCTATATCCAGGCTTGCTTTTTCGTATAACAATAAGTTCTTTTTAAAATGTAGGCATGCGTTCACACAGCTAAAAACTGTATTTCTCAGCCTCCCTTGCAGCTACACACACATAGCTAATTTCTAACCAAGGTGTATGCAGAAGTATTATATATCCCTCCTTTCCCCTTTTAATGATGAAAGTTGTTTTCTATCTCTACTCTAGCTTTTACCTCTTAATCGCACAAAACAACTCTAATTTATTCCCTCCCTCCCTCCCTTCCTTTTTTTTCTTTCTTCTTTAGAGTGACATCTGAGATTCAAGACTTGACTCTTCTTAACACATGTATTTTACCACGTAGGATTTTTAATACATTAATCTGAAAGATTAATAAATTTCTCATAAAGTCCCAAGAATGTATTATGGCCAGTTGATAATAAGTCACCTTTTGTGTCTAAAAAAATGTGTATGTCAATGTTCACAGTCACTATTTCCAAAAACATTGGAACAGAGTGTGAAAGAAGCACCTGTCGGAAAAACTCCTCCATCAGGGCCATGGTCCACCGGTGGTGCAGCTGCCAGCATTTGGCCGGGTGGCTGATGTCTGCTGCGTGGAGAATCAGGGACATGGTCTTGGCTCTGTCGATCCTGTCAAGCCAAGCGCATGTTCAAATGACCACAACGAAGTAACCAATCACGGTTTTCCTGAGCCAAGCCCATGGCACTTTAACATCACAAAAGGAAATCACCTACCCTTCGGGCTGCTGCAAACTGTTTCTTATATTTTTGATTTGCTGGAAGTGACCTGACATGTCTGTAGACAAAACCATTTCAATCACTAGGTTCCGAAGATCCCTGTGGAGTCATCAGAAGGAAAAAGGTTCATTTGGCCTTTTATTGTTCCTAAGAGGAACATTTCCTTAAACATCACTGATTACATTTCATTTTTCTTAATGGGTATAAACACAAAAGAAGCTAGGTTTTAAATGTACAAGTGCTTATAAAAGTTTACATTATTTTACCTTTTAACGCTGAAGGATTTAGGGAGTTGCCAGGAGAATGATCTGTGAATGATGCTGTTTAACATCTTCCCTTCGAGAACTGGAGGCTTTCCCCTCCCACACCTGCAATCCTCCCCCACTCATAAACTCTAAATGTTTTTCTATCTGAAGGATCCTAACCAATTTTAAAGAAAAACTATTCTAAAGGCACTATGCGCTATTCATAAAAATCACCACTATTTGTATAGTATTTATTCAGTCCAGCAGTGTTCTGGTTGATACATATATGTATGTATGTATATTAAGACATTTAATCTTTGTAGTGACCCTGTGCAGGGATGCACCTGGTTGTCTTCCCCTACATGGCAACACCCAGTATCACCATTACATGCAATTTTTTTAAGCAGACAGATGCTTTGGAGAAACATGTAAGGTTTACTTCTGTACCTGGGCGATTTTAGTATAGTATATTTGTAATGTTTCCCCCCAAATAGTGAATTCTTAGAAAAAAAATTAAAAAGCTAAACTCTACATGTAGAAAAGTAATATATGAAAGAATTAGTACTTTAAAACTTTGAATTTATGTAGGACCACACATATTGGTAGAATCGAGCAGAGCTACATTCCAGAGAGTGTGTAACTATGCATCTTCAAGTGAAGTCTTTGTTTTATGGCTGCCGTCTTATGGATTGGTTACAATGCGTACAGACATTGAATTAGCCTGGAAATAGTTCAGCTGCATCTGACAGAGCTTGGCGCCTGAACAAGGTCTCCTAGGTACTAATCTCAGTGTCATCCAGTCAAAGGGAATTGAGCTTGTAGTATAAGTAAAGGATTAGCTTTCACCTGTTTTCTTCACCGTAAATCACATAATTTAACTTTTTCCTGAAATTAAATTTCCTCTAGGTGTCTTCTTAAACTCACCTCCAGTCATCTTTGGATAAATTTATCAAGACATTCATTTCTTCTTCTTGCATAAGTCGATAAGCTGCACTCACATGGTGATTTTCAAGGACGGATCGATCGTTATACAAAATGGCAACATCTGACCTAAGAATTAAAAAGAAAATGCATAGTAAAAGATTTCTTTAGACTTCATGAGTGTCTAATAAAAATACTCAAGTCACAAGACATCTCATTAGTAAAAACCCTATAATCAAACACCTACATTTATGGAAGTACTTAGTTTTCTTTCTTTTTTAGTGTATGACAATTTTTTTAAATGAGCTTTATTTTTAGAGCAATTTTAGGTCCACAGCAAAATAGAGCAGAAGGTACAGAGATCTGCCATTTACCCCCTGGCCCCACATATGCATAGCCTCACCCATTATCAATATTCCCCACAGAGTGGTACATCTGTTATAACTGATGAATCTACAATGACACATCATTGTCACCCAGACTCCATAGCTTACATTAGGGTTCACTCTTGTACATCCTATGGGTTTGGACAAATGTGTTAAGACATGTATCCACCTTTATAGTATCATAGAGAATATTTTCACCGCCCTAGAAATCCTTTGTGCTTAACCCTGGGAACCACTGATCTTTTTACTGTCTCCATAGTTCTGCCTTTCCACGATTCTTTTTAGTACTGAATAATGTTTCATTGTCTGGGTGTATCATAGTTTATTTACCCATCCACCTACTGAAGGACACCTTAGCTGCTTCCACATTTTGGCAATGATGAATAAAGCTGTATAAATATCTGTGTGCATGTTTTTTGCGGACTTAAGTATTCAAATCCTTGCGGTAAATACAAAGTCGCGTGATTTTGGATCATATGGTAAGAGCATGTTTAGTTTTATAAGCAGCCATCAAACTGTCTTCCAAAGTGGCTGTACCATTTGCATTCCCACCAGCAATGAACGAGTTCCCGTGGCTCTGTATCCTTGCCAGCATTTGCTGTCATCAGTGTTCTGGATTTTGGCCAGTCTAATAGGTTCGTAATAGTGTCTCATCGTTATTTTAATTTACATTCCCCTGATGACAAAAAAAAAAACAAACACAACACGGTGTGGAGCCTCTTTTCATATGTTTATTTGCCATCTGTGTATCTTCTTTGGTGAGGTGTCTGTTAAGGCCCATTTTTTATCAGAGTATTTTCTTATTCCACTTGATGTTTTAAGCGTTCGTTGTACGTTTTGAATTGCAGTCCTTTATCAAAAGCATCCTTTGTAAGTATTTTCTCCCAGCCTGTGGCTTGTCTTCTATTTTTTTTTTTTTTTATTGTCCTTCACAGAGCATAAGTTTTTAATTTTAAGAAAATCCAGCTTATCTTTTTTTATTTTTTTCATGAATTGTGACTTTGGTGCTGTATCTAAAAAGTCCTTGTTGTCTTCTAGGAGTTTTACAGTTTTGTGTGTTACATTTAGGATGATGATCCATTTCGAGTTTACCTTTATGAAGAGGTGTGAGGTCTGTGCCTAGGCTCATGCTGTGCGTGTGGAGGTCCTGTTGTTCCAGCCCCGCTTGCTAAAGGGACCCTCTCTGCTCTGTCCTATTGCCTTGGCTCCTTGTCAAAGCTCAGCTGAACGTGGGTGTGCTTCTGGGCTCTCTGTTCCGTTCCACTGACCCTTGGTGGGTTCTTTGGTTGACGCCGCGCTGCTGTGGTTACTGCGGCTGTACTGGAAGTCTTACCACCGCATGAGGTCAGCCTTCCAGCTGCCCTTTTCCTTCAAGGCTGTTCCCGGTTCGGGGTCTTGTGCCTCGCCATGTAAACTTGAAATCTGCTTATTGCACCCAGCCGGCCGTGGCTCAGCGGCTGAGCATCGACCTGGGATCCACGTGACAGGGGTTCGAATCCCGGTCAGATCACATGCCTGGGTTGCTGGCTCGATCTCCAGTCGGGCGCCTGCAGGAGGCAGCTGATCAATGACTCTCTCATCATTAATGTTTCTATCTCTCTCTCCCCCTCTCCTTTCCTCCCTCTAAAACCAATAAAGATATATTTTTTTAAAGAAAATCTGCTTATTGATAGCTACAAACTAACTTGCTAGGAGTTCGATCAGGATTACGTTGAAGCTGTGTGTCAGTTTGAGAGCTGACATGTTGGCCATACTGAGTCTCTTATCTGTGAGCATAGAATAGCTCTCCGTCGGTTTAGGTCTCTGAGTTCTTTCATCGGTGTTTTGTAGTTTCACTTCTCCTTCCTTATGGTCCTAGGTTGCCAAGTCCATTTGAANATTGAAGCTGTGTGTCAGTTTGAGAGCTGACATGTTGGCCATACGAGTCTCTTATCTGTGAGCATAGAATAGCTCTCCGTTGGTTTAGGTCTCTGAGTTCTTTCATCGGTGTTTTATAGTTTCACTTCTCCTTCCTTATGGTCCTAGGTTGCCAAGTCCATTTGAAAGTGTGGGATGGAAGCAGGGCCACTAGGTTCAATGTACTAAACTGGTGAACTCATTCATATAAGCTGGCAAGTTGGAGGCAAGCAGCAAAAATAGCAAAAGGAAAGTCAGGGTGAGACCTACAGCAGTGTTGCTACCACTTTCCCCAACATTGGGCTCCTCCCACTTTTCCTCCCTCCTGGTAGGTACATATAGATACAGACTCTGTCAGCACTAAAATTGCCTCATTAAGACTTACTGTTTTAGGCTTTTCAATCGGTAGAGCCTCAGTTATCATCTAGTACTGACCCTATCACTGAATGTTTACCAAAGAGTAGTTAAGGACAAATCCAACAAAGAACTAAAGAATCCTGGCTCCTGTTGCAAGCAGCATATTTGAGATAAACCAAGCTTTATTATTCCTCCAACATAGGGGAAATGAGCTATCAGGCAGCAGAATTACTACTTCCCCTTTTGTTTCCAGAACTTCATAAAAGTAGAATAATATGTAGTTAGCTAATACTACATACCTCCAAAATACATTTTCTTTTAATAATGTTGCCTATGGCCTAAAAGTTACTTAGCCAATAATCATAGCTCATTACAAAGAAAACTGAACTAGCAAAGCATACATACAATTCTTGTTTAAAAAAGAATTAAACAGATCTTGCTCAAGTATCTCCAGCAGTTTGCTGAGATCATGGTGTGGTGGGCCGTTAGATAGACAGGAGCAGAGGAGCACAGCAAGGACAATGGGCCAGGTACAGGAGGTCACCAGGGTGGAAAGCCCCGGGTGCCTAGCCAAGGACAATTGTAGGGTGGGACCTCATTCCCAGGGTGACCTTTCCTTGTCTAACATTTTGCTGGTCATGTGGTTTAGACCCTCTGACCTTTCTTCCCTAGAGAGAACATTTAGGCCTCAGTTGTATTTCAGCTCCAGGCCCAGAAAAGCAGCAAAGTCAGACAAGTGACACCATGACTGACCTCAGGACCAGATGCATTGAAAAATGACCCCCTGGCCTGGCACTGAGCAATCAGTCAGGGGAGACCATGACCCTGAAAGGACAGCCTGGAAAGCTACTGAATATTTTATTGGCACCTTCCCTGAATATTTTATTGGGGCCTTCCTTAAAATCTCTACCCTTAAAGCACTTAGCACAGAGGACCCAGCTGCTGTCCCTCCCAGGAATACACCTATGCATTTCCCCGTCCCCTCCCCTCAGGCACATTACCTTTTCTTTCCTCACTCCCAAGCTCCAAGGGCCCTTCTTTGCCTCTATAACTTGTTTCCTGAGCCCATTTCTTTTTTAAATTACTTCTCCTACCTCTGCGATTTTATAAATAAATATTCTCTTATAGTTGGAGTCTTGGCTCTAATTCTCTCCTCGCCAGGACTCAAGTACCGAGGTTGCTGAACCCAGGGCCGGTCTGACCCCACCAGTCTAACACCTGGTGCTGCTCTTCCCGCTGTCAGCAATGGGAAAAACTATAATGTGCAAATCAAATATCATTTGTATGGCCTCAAATCTAGGCATGGCAATTTTGCCAGGATTATTAGAAGATGTGGCTCCAAATATCACTGTCTTTACCTTTCACCAACAAGAAAATATGTTTTTGAACTAGATTTAATTGTAACAAAGTATGTATCATTTTCTCTCACAAATCCAACAGGATGCTGAGATGGCCTTTGACTACTAAGGAAGGAACAAGACTCAAAGCACCATCCAGTATCCATGGTAACATGGAGCTCGGCATTTTCTTTTCACAAGGTAAAAATCACTTTCATTTATTTACACTTGTAAGGATTTCATGAATTGTAATGTCTCTATTAAACTTAAAACTAGCCTTGCACTGTGTTTGAAATTATTTTTCAATCATTTTGCGTTATCCAGTAACATAAGACCTATTTCTCCTTAGACAAAATGTGAAGGTGGCAGCGAGAGCTTTTAAAACCATATTATTTCGTTGCATTTGTGGTCACTAACAACATTTTTGTTCATAGAATTTTCAAGTTCTTATAAAATTAACCCACTAAATAATTGATCCTACCAGATAAGTTATAAGAAAAAAGTAAAATGCTAGAAATCTCCCCCATTTGATAGAATTTCTTAATATAAAAATAGGGGAAAAAATGTATTCCTCCTTCTCCTTCCCTTCCTCTCCCTTCTTTTTTTCCATTTCCGTGTCCTTCCCTGCCGCCCAAAGTACAAGCTAATTGGGACGCTTCACTCAGTTATAAACGAATGGTCAAAGGAGAAAGCTAGAGGCATCTAACTGCGGCCGGAGGGGGCCGGTCCATTGCCTTCCCTTTCCAAAGTAGAAAAAACAAGAAGNGCGTCAGTTGTAAACGAATGGTCAAAGGAGAAAGCTAGAGGCATCTAACTCTGCGGCAGGGGGGGCCGGTCCATTGCCTTCCCTTTCCAAAGTAGAAAAAACAAGAAGTATTCATCATACCAAATACTTGCTCCCTTCTCCAACTCCCAAAACTATTGTCCCATACAGGACCCAGCTCAGTGAGGGGCCGTCTTTAATTAAAATCCCACTCACTGTGGATTGGGTGGATGTAGAAGAGCACAAATGATACCTGAGCAGGCTGCCTTTCCTTTGCTGTTTAACACAAATAAAACCCAAACAACTCCCCAGCTCTGCAAACATTCCTTGCCGCACCAGCTTCAGGGTCTCCCCTTCCCCTTCATGCTCTGTCAGCCTGGGGGACTCCAGGGATAGACAGAACGCCTTCCCTAATATTTCATTGTCTGAATTTTAACTCTTCTGTCTCCATCAAGGGTCCATGGTCTCTAAGCCCATCCACTTCAGGCTCTAACGGGCTGGGACCATCATCTGTCTGTCTCTGGCCCTGGGAGTGGAGCTGTGTAAGTAGACTGGATTGAGAGTGAGTGTCTGTCTTGGCTTCTCAATCGTGCCACCGCCATCAGCTGACTGTGTGCATATAAATAAATCATTTCACCTCTGAGATATTTGCATTTTCTTCTGTGGATCACCAGGCGATCTATAATGTGGGTCTCAGCCGCTTTAGGGTCCCTTGAAGCTCTAAAATGTCTAATATATTATAAAATGTTTCTATGCTCTTTACATAAAAACAATAACTTCTTATAATTGGAAAATGAGTTGTTAGAAATTGCTATTAAAAAACAAATGAACAGACCATATAAAACTTGCACATGAATATTTATAGCAGCTTTATTCATAAGTGCCAAGATTTAGAAGCAACCAAGATATCGTTCAATAGGTAAATAAGTAAATAAACTCTGGGACATCCAGACAGTGGAATATTATTCAGCAATGAAAACAAATGATCTGTCAAACTATAAAAAGACATATAGGAGCCTTAAGTTCATATTGCTATGTGAAAGAAGCCAGCCTGAAAAATGTGATTTAAACTATATGACATTTTGGAAAAGGCAAAACTATAGAGACATTAACAAGATTAGTAGTTGCCATGGATAAAAAAAGGAGGGAGGGATTAAAACATGAAGTAAGGGGACTTTTAGGAAAGTGAAACTATTGTATGTGTTACTATAATGGTGGATGCATGGCATTACATATTTGTAAAACCCATACAATGTATAACACAAAAAGTAAATCCTAATGTAAACTATGGACTTTAGTTATTAATGATGTACCAACAATGGTTCATCAGTTGAGACAAATGTACCACACCAGTGCAAGCTGTTAGCAATAGGGGATACTGTGAGTTTGGGAGGGAGCATATGGGAACTCTGTGCTTTCTGTTCAATTTTTCTGTAAACCTAAATCTGCTCTATGAAATAAATTCTACTAATTTAAAAAAATGAACAAATAAAAAATAACTAGGTTTAATTTTCCCTCAACAAGAATAGAGAGTTTACATTGGTTCCAGAGAGACATCATTCTCTCAACTTACATCTCCATCTTAAGTTTATCTGACTAGTAAAAGACAGAAATTTCAGGATCCTGTGCATATAAAGTGAGTTGGATCCTGATGGGGTCCTCAACCAATTTCTGCCTCCCAGGAAGGGAGATCTCTGTGCAACCAAAAAAATTTAGAGGACCTTCCTGTTATGGACTGACTTGCATTCCCTGGAAATTTATATGTTGAAGTTGTAACCCCCAGTATCTTAGAATTTGACTGTATTTGGAGATAAGGCATTTAAAGAGATAAAGATGAAATGAGGTCATAAGGGTGGGCCCTAATCCAATATCACTGGTGTACTTATAAAAGGAAGAGAAACTAGGATGCTCACACCAAAAGAAATGGCCATGAGAGGACACAGAAAGAAGGTGCCACCTGCAAGCCAAGGAGAGAGGCCTCAGAAGAAGCAAAACCTGCTGATTCCTTGATCTTGGACAGCTAGTCTCCAGAGCTGAGAGAAAACTTCCGTTACTTAAACCAGGCAATTTGTGGTATTTTGGGATGGCAGCCCTGACAGAACAATACACGTCCACTCTGGTATTTTGAATCTAATAACTGCCATTATCACCATTATTTAAAACATCACATTTTCTAATTATTTTAAATTTAACACTTCATGCTCCCCTGGAAGTTAGATTTCTTTGATTTTTAGATTTTTTCCCCCCAGAAGTGCAATGTTACTACTTTCAAATACATAATAACACCAAACTGATGCCTTAGACAATAAGTTGCAAGATTTGTCTCAATAGATGTCTGAATCGTGTGACAGTTCAAAGTGTAAATTCTGAGCAAATAAAAATTATATTACACATCTTTATGCTCTTTAAATTGCTGAATGTGTCACAAAATAGGTTTACAATTTTTGCTGGTTGATTGAAATGTTTACAGCTTTAATAAATGTTGCTAAAATTTATTAAACCTATTCTTACTTGGCATCTACATTATTATTTTTAAATCTTGTTAAAATAAGCAATATGCAGAAAAGTAAATTTCAAGTTTTATCTTAGAAAAGTTAGTACTTTATCTAGCTTACCTTGTCTGAATATGGAAGTTGTTTGTGGTTCCCGTGTGCTCATAGTCGTGAATGGCAGCGGCAAAGACCATTGCTAAAATTTCCAGTTCCGTGAGCCAGTGCTAGTAAGTTAAATAAAGGTTCCAACATGTTTAGAAAGCAGAGGCTATGCTGTCTTTCCACAAAAACGATTTTCAGTGCCCCCGGTATAATTAACCATATAAAATTGTTTTATTGATTTTAAATAAATTTTCCTTTCTATTCCACCTCCATTAATTGTGCACAATAGTGATGCTTCACGAGGTCAATGATTGTTTCATGTCTTGTAAGTTGAAAATCCAGACATTATCGTTTTTCTTGCTAATTGAAAAAGAATTTTCTATGATCTAAAAGGTGAACCCTGTCTGGACTTTGAATTCATAGCCTTACCAATTTGGGTTCTCGTGAAATCAATCACAGTTAAGTGAATTTTAGGATACAGCTCATACATCAGTAAAATGTCTTTTAGCTCAACTTTTGTAGAAGACCTTGGTATGAAAAGATTTTTCACCTAAGAGTTGAAAACTGTTTACTTTGCTCATTAGAGAAACTGAACTTAGTTTTTATAGTTAAAGATTTAGAGGAGTTTCCAAGGATTTACCAAATTTACTCTTCATAACATATACATTCTATAACTGTGCAATTACAGTTAATAACAATGAAAAAAATAAATGCTTCACATAAGATCAGACCACCTGCTTCATACTTGCTCTTTGTTATCAATTGGATGATTTCACAACATTTCACTACTAGTGTAAGTCCACTTAGATAATTCAATAGTTTATCACATTTTGCATAACACTTTTACTGCTCTGTCCAATATAACCACATGTGACTATTTAGATTTAAAAGAAATATAATTAAGTAAAATTAAGTCCCCTTTCATTGTCACAGTAGCCACATTTCGGCTGTTCAAACAGTCACATGTGGCAAGTGGTTGCCATACAGGACAGCGCAGATACAAAGCATTTTCTCCATCACAGGAGGTCCTATTGGACACCACTGCAATTCAGCGGTAGGAATGGAAGATCCAAAACGAAGTGAAGCTTGGTCTTAGTGGTTTTATTCCATATACTTGAAATAATTAAAGACCTTGCACAAGGCAACAGAAAAATAGAACATAAACTACATGCATGCTTGATACATGGTGACCGAATGAAGGTGCAATAGAAGGGCAGATAGAATGTCTATTCTGTGGCAGTGGATCTTGGAATTAGGATGGGTGAAGACTGAAAGCTAAATGCCAGGTTGGGAACAGAGAGATCTTACATACAAAGAGAATGTAGAATGACACTGTAGAAGTCTATGCGAAAATGGAATTGCCTGTAGTACAGTTGTGTTGGAGAGTCCAGTGAAGTGAGATTGAAAATAGTGCGGAGCATGGGAATGAGTTGATAGGCTGCCCTGATTGGAGCTGATGAGTTTGAATTTTGTATAAAAGGCAAGAGGGAGCCGTTGTGGGTCCATGAGGACAAAAATGAAGGAGGTGACAGCTATTGTTTCTCATAGTTGCCAAAGCCAGGCTCTTATTAATCTTTTTTCTTTTCACATAAGTGACCATGGCATTTGGCATATAGTAGGAACTTAATATTTGTCTGTTGAATTGAATTTAACCAGTCTTGCATTTTGAGGAAGTAGTAAGGAGTAGTTGGTAAAGATATGCATTCAAACAATCCTAGTTTTAAATCTTTGTTAATCCTTAGACAAATAAGTTATTTTCCCTTTCAGCCACAGTTCCCAGGAAAATAGAATTAGTGGTTATTCCCCTGTGGCTTTTAAAAGAAGTTTGTAGTCAATGTATGCACTGTGCCTACATATAGTAAAATACAGAATAAATGGCATTTTACTAAACTTGTTATCTTTAACACGCTGTTTAAGTCATTCAATCTGGAAACCAATAGTGAGCTAACACATCTTTAGTGACTACAATTCAAGAATAAATGCCTCACAGGTGGATGGCTAAAGCAGAAATGATTTTCAGAACCAGAGGGAGTTGATTTAACTAGCTATTCAGTGCTTATAGGTGCATTTAATTGTGAGTCATTAAAAGAAAGAAAATGACCTTATTAGAGGCCTATATTATAGGCTGAACTGGGACTGAGCCTTTAGTGTCCCCAGTGAGACTGTGGAATTAAGCACCATGAAATGAATAGCACTTGAAATTACACCAGTTTTTGTACTCCTAGAAACCCATTGTTTTATTAAAGGAAATTGTTCCTAGAAAAATAACCACACAATTTATTAAGTATTTCTTATTGGTTATATTTAAGATTTACAGATTTAACTGTGATTTTTTTAAAAAAGCAACATCCAGTATTTATTACAATAATATAGACTATGAAACTAAAACTGTAAAAAATTAAATAAAAAATAAGAAATGGATGTTAATTATAGGTTATCTCATAAGTATGTAAAAGCATATCTTCCTAGCTCTCAAAATTGATTATACATGTGTTTCCTGTTTTTAGTCTCATTACTCTCTGCTCATAAGTAATATTTCCTCAATGAATCCTCTTATGTATTGCCACACTATAGTCTTAATAATAAAATTTGCATTATAAAATAATTTGGGAAGAGAGAAACATTGAGCTTTAATACTTAATTAAAAATACATCTGTTTTGTATTAGTGAAAATAGAATTTTGAGCTTATTTTGAGCTTCTTAGTTGCCGATTCACTTCATGCTGGTGTCAAATGAGAATTCTAACTCAGAAAATGCATAATTAAACTCATGGATTTTGTAAAGGATTCATGAGGACAAGCCAGAGAGAATGAGACTGAATCATACCACTCTTCCCAACTGCACTGTGGTCAGTACATAACCTAGGTTCTTCTGATTCCTGATGAGCACAAATAAAGGGTTGAAGTGATGAGTAATAAACAATACAAGACTGTGCTTCATCTACACTGCAGCTTGTATTTTGCCTAGAGAAATGTTCGGGTGGCCTTACTCTAAAATGTGAAGCCCTTAAAGTATGTTATAGAGAGGTATGACTGCCATTAATAGTGTGTACACTGGTGATGGAGGGAAAGGAAAAGGAACTAATATTAACTGAAATTTTTAATTACATGGTGTCATTTAATTTTTATAACCATCCTATAGACCATTTAGTAGGTAAACATATTTATCCCTATTTGGCAGATAACAAAGCTGAATCCTAAAGAAGCGAGTCAACCTGCCATAGGTCACCCAGTTCTCAAGTGGCAGAGCAGGGATTCAAAGCAAATTCTGTCCAATTCTGAAGTTTCTGTTCCTTCCACAGATCACAATATTTCTTCTATGAATGACAATAGCATTCATTACTCAAGGGAGGCAATATGAGGAATACATTCTTCTAAAGTTTTAAAAGCAGAACTTCTAGACAATTTAACTTGATATATTGATGAGCAAAAGTTCATAGAGCTTTAAGATGTATGATGTTAATTTTCATAGCTGAATTAGTGTGTGTGTGTGTGTGTGTGTGTGTGTGTGTGTGTGTGATAGAGACAGTATGTATGTCTAGGGCTGGGAGAATTTCAGGTCAGAATATCATACTGACCTATTAATTCCTGACCATTTTATCTTAAATTATAGGGCTGAACACTTTTTTTTCTCTATGCCTTTGAATAGGCTGAGGTAGTTTGCTCTAACTTACTTAGTATATAGAAAGTGAGTATATATACATAATAATAATACATCTAATTTAATATACATAATAATATATTAATAATTTTTACTAATATTAGTGTATGTGCTAATAGCTGTTATATTTCAGGAACTAGGTTAGGTGCTTTACACATATGATATCACTGACTCCTCACTGTCATGCTAAAGGTGCTCAGTATTATAAACTGCATTTTAGTGACAAGGGAACCAAAGTAGAGAGCAAACAAGCTAGGAAGTCATGAAACAGGGTTTCGAAGCTTCTGATTGCCTCAAAAGCCTACACTCTTTCCACTCTTCCAAACGGTGTTGCCTGGGAAGCCATTTATAAGAACAGAATTTCCACAGAGTTTGTAGAATTGGAGACACCATGGCAAGTCTCCTGCAGATTGCTTGGAGAAAAACTGAGTCATTTCAGTGTGTGGGAGACTATTTCTGGGTGTAGTAAGTGGACTACAATCTCCAAAGGAAATAGATTTCAAGTCATCTCTTTTCTTTCTATTCTTAGTGTTACCGAGATCACAATGTGAGGAGCCGTCCCGATGATTTCATATTCAAATACGCATTTGCAGGTGGCTTAGCAGCACTCAGTGAAGCATCTGCTCTTTGGCAAATGGATTGAGCAACCTGTCACACTGTCACTGTGGCCCAGGGCTACAAATTAATTAAGGGACAAAAGAGAGCATGAGACAGGGGTGTACTAGCATCAGCTTTCCTTGGCACGGCCTACTCGCAGGCCTCCGGGCGTCCACAGGACATTAACCAACTGAAGGACAGTCACAGTCCCTTGGAGGCAATGGTCCTCTGAACATTTCACCAGTGACAGGCGGTATTAGTCATGGGACAGTGTTGGGCTGCTGCTGGAGTGCCCCATAAATGCCACACTTGATAAGACCATTCTGAAACTATAGGACACCAGCTAAAACACTGAAGTAAGTGATATATTTTAAAATGCTTTTTTTGTTTTAAAGAACCAACACATTTATTTGTATAGAAATAAATACCACCACTTTTTTCACCTAAAGAAAAGCTTTTTAAAATAACTTTCCAAAAATAAACTGACAGTCTAACCTAGTTTTGACAAAATAGTCAATAAATTTGTGAATTTATTTTGCCTTGCCTTTCATCACCCATCATAACACTTCTCATTACTCCCTTCAGTTTAAATGTATTTTCCGGACCCAGGACAACACTGACAGTCTCTCAGCAGATTATTTTTTTGTAATGGCCCAGCTAAGAGATAAGCAAAGAGCCTGCTGACACTTTTTTGCTAGTGGATGAGTAAAATCATAAACAAATTTTCAAAGCAAACTTGCTAAAGTAGAGTGAAGTTATATTTACAATTAGTAACTCACTGTCTTCTCAAAAAGTGACTGTGTCATCTTTGCTAATAAATTCTGGCTTGCAGGAGAGCTGCGCCAGGCTGGGGCAGATCCCCTCAGTCTCGCAGAGGAGTTGGACTGGCTCATTGTAACTGGAATGAATCTTCCTTGCAAGTCTGAGGGTCAAATCACATAGTGGATTTGAATTTCTCTATTTACTCACTAATGTAACACTCCTCAGCTCTTCAATGTTACCTTCAGAACGGAGGGTCTGAAGCTGAAATCAGACACTTCTATTTAGCTCTCTTTATACTTCTGACCAAAAAAAAAAAAAATGTACTTATGCAGAAACATATTTTTTAAATTCTGGTTACCCCTCTCCCTGAGCTGAAATGGCATATTTCTTTGTGTTGTACTTCAAAATTTAAGCAGATATTTTATTATACTGAAGTAAGCATTACTTTTCTGTTCCAAGCATTCTGCGGAAATGTAATCAGTTCGCTTTCTATTAAAGAATAAATCTTAAATATTTCATTGTTCAGTTAACTCTTTCAAAGCCACAGAATTTAGAAAAAAGGAAATGCCAAATACTTGAAATGTATACAATCTCACTATCAGATTCAAGACCAAGGCCTTAGAAAGGAAAAAGGAAGCAGCTGTAACCAGGAAGACGTGGAAGCAACTTTTGCGAGTGTAACAGCATCAGCAGCTGTCAGAGGGCACTGGGTCCATCACATTATTTTTGCCGTTATGATCGCCATGCATATCACACCAGGAGAAAGCAAGGAATTCAGGAAACAGCTGTGATGATGAATCCTTTGAAACCAAAAGAGCTTTAGAAGAATTTCTGTGTGTGTGAGTGTGTTTGTGTGCACATGCTTGAAAGAGAAACAGGTATAAAGAAGGTTACATATACTACTTTGAAAAAACTTACACCGTTTTAAAGTTCTATCTTTGAATGTTAGAGTTTCTACTTATCATTAGTAACCTCTGTTTCCTCCCTTAAAATGCCAAATCAGACTCCTGGAATGAATGGTAAATAAACTCAATCAAGGACCAAGTCCTGCCATGCCTACATTTGATCTAGCCCAATGGCACATTTGCACCTTAGTTCAGTGATGCTCAAATATATAACTTAAAACAGGAAAACACAAGGCGTGAGGTTAGCAACACATATAGTTCCGCCTTCTAGAAGGTCACAGGAGGCTCATGCTACGGCCTCAAGGAAGGCTTTTGAGATTTCTACCTCCCTCCAAACAGGACTTCATTCCAAATCAAGTTATATTACTTTGTAATCTTGCCATAAAGTGCATATGTCTATTGAATTGTGGTAAGATCCCAATAAAGTTCTGTATTAAAAACCCAGCTGAGGTCCCGGACATTAGCCATTATAAACTGCCAGTCGCGTGAGTGAACCGTCACGGACGTCTTGCCCAGCGATGGCCTCAGATATCTTCAGCCATAGTTGCTAGCAGACTGAAATCACAGGAGAGACTCCCACTGAGAACCTTCTAACTGGGGCCCTTCTAACCACAGACCCTTGAAGATATTAACAAATTATTGTTTTAAGCCACGACACTGTTATCGAGCAACAGATAATTGGAATATGGGCAGAAGTGGGATCTGAGCCTAAGGCACTGATGGATCTGCACCATTTTGGAGGCAAAGAAAGATGGAGAAGGAGAGACAATTTCTTTCGTCATCACGGAAGACACTATTGGATGAATCATAGCAAATGAATAAATATGTGTAGTAAACAACACCCTACAGTTTCTTGGGGGGAAATGAAATAATGAAGAAAATTTTCTGTATACAAAAAACTTGGAGAATTATGTACCTGTTATAAGTTTTCATGATCTTCAGAACAACCTACTGTGTGTAGTTCTAGGGGCTTTGCTTGTTAGCAGGTTAGGAACAAAGTCTCTGGCGTAGAAAGATGAGTATTGAGGTTTTCTGGGCCCCCAAAGAGTACTCGTTATGTAGATCTGAGTGCCAGTGACCCTTGCCAATAGAAAGGGTGTGACTTCTGAATTCTAAACAGGTAGGCAAAGCCTATCACGGGGCTTGGTGGGACGGTCTCCTTACATGTGCTTTATGCCATTGCTCCAGCCTAGGCTGTCGCACAAGGAATCACGAAGGCACTAAGATTTGGGGATCTCACATGGCCTACACCCCTTTGCACCCACCTCAGTTTAGAACTGAGCTGCTTCTCTTTTCGCCTTCCGGGAGTCAGCTTAAACTCTGAGGCATTACAGAAACTCCAGGCCGTTCCTATCATCTACTCCTTGCTGTCCTGAGATTTGCAAAGATGAAACATTTACTTATCCATTGATTCATTCAGATGCAAAGAAAAGGAAGGAGAATTTGGAAAAATTCACATGAATAATTTCCCAAATACTCATTAGGATTTGAATGTGATTAGCAATGTTTGTAAAAGAGAAAAGGCTGCTGATGTCGGCTTAGAAGAACACGGAGATATGAGGGAAGAGCTCTATAACTAACTTTCATTCCAGAGACTTTTTCTCTAGGTCACTTATTTTTTCTCTTTTGATTACTAAGGGAAAAGATATTTATAAACAAAAATGTTCTATAGTCCAAATTTTGGGAAACTTACAGTATATTTTCATTTGCCTCTGGGTATCTTTTTTTTCCCACTGAGTTAAAATACTTTTTGAAAAAATGTATATTATAGATAAGTCATTAACCCTCACAAATCCAAAAGATTATTACTTACAATACTTTCGTGGGCATTAAAGAGATAATAAGAACATAGGGGAACAGAATTTGATGTTCCAAACTAACAAACTTCAGGTACAAAGCTGTTCTTACCATGATGCCTGTATGAAGCATTATGCAATGCACAGTTTGAGTGACATCCGCTGCGTGGATCAGATTGTGATAAGGATTTTTGTACTTGCTGTAACCAACTTCTAAAGTTTCTGCAAAGGCAATTAGGCAAGAAACAGGAATCTGCAGAAAGTAATAATTTTGATTACATTTTACCTTAAGAGTAGCTCTAAATCAACAAGACACAACAATTTCGGGGAGGGGACACATTAGTGAGTCAGATGTGGGCAGTAGTTTCTTGAAGTTCAATGGCGACTGTTTTGAAAAATTACTTCATCAACCTGTTAACTTTCAATCCTGACAAGAATTGTAACCCCCAAATGTTTAACGAAGGTAGATGAGATAAGTCTTCCCCACACTGTTGTCTTTAAATGTCTATATCTTGAGAGTCAAGTCCGAAGCCTAGTTCTTAAACGGGTAAAATTTCCTTATTAGAATTGGTGAAGTCTAGCTTTTTTATCTGTAATGCTGTTATCATCATAATTAGCTAGTTTATTAATATTAATAATAGAAAAAGAGCAAAGGGGAGGCCAGACATTATAAACATGGTCATCTGGGCAGCTTCACAAGGAAGCTATAGCTTCACACCCCAAGGAATTCAGCAGTGTCCCTCCAAGGGGATTAACATCCCTCCCTTGCCCCCTCCTGGATTTTTGGGGGAAGCAGGCAGATAGGGGCACGTTCAGTGAAGTCAGGGTGACACAGGAGAGATACTTGCCTGTCAGTGTAACCTGGGAAAAAGATAATTGACTAGGGGAGCAGAGCCACTGCAAGCGTGCGAAATCTTGAAGGCTTAATTAATTGGTTAAGCTTCTGGTTATAATGCCCAGACAAAGAATTAGCTCTCTCTTGCTTTGCTTCTGCTCCCTTGCGCTCTCTTGCTCTGTGACCCATACTCACCCATGCACTTGCCCACCAGGTGGCCTTAAGCAGCCACAATGGCCATATGACCCCACACACAATGGACTGCAGCTGGGAACACAAGCTAAGCTAGCCAGATGCTGGGCTGGACTGTGCTTAAATACTGAGCAGAGACTTCGGGCAGTGGCTTTAATCCCAACTCCACTGAAGACAAGATTGGACATTTTTCATGGTGGGACAGAGGGAGATGGGACCCTGGAAGGGAACCCCCTTAATTTTACATTATCAATAAAACTTTCCATGATATCTCATTTCCCTGTGGTGGCCACAGGAAATTCCATTCCCCGTGGCACCCCAAGAACTCCACTTCCACAGTGGAGTGGGACACGGACGGCACCCCACTGATAACAGTAAAAGGCATTAAAATAAATGATCTTCCATGTACCTTCCAGCTCTAAAAACGTCATGATTCCATAGGTAATGCCTAAAGGTACAGGTGCAGAGTGCTCAGAAATCTGGATCAAATCTGTTATTTAAATACCTCTAACTGAAGTTAATTAGAAGCCTTTTCATTTTAGTTGAAGAAAAGCTGCCAATAAAGGCTCATTCTGTGTCTCAGGAACACAGAAGATCATATTTCTTTAGAACATAGCTGTCAGTCTCTACACGACTGCCCTGTGAACAATCCAGGATGTAGGCATCTCACTGGAGTGAGCTTACAATGGATTCACGATACCCGAGTGGATGTGGAGTTACGTCAGGGAGTTGGGGGAGGTGGCTTATCACGTGATGAACTCATCCCCCCAGTTCTGTGACCTGCCAACTGGAAACGTTGCACAAGGCATGGATAATGACTCAGTGTTCTGTGCTTTCATTGTCATTCGGATAACTGATTCTAAGAGCGTTTCACTTTTACTCCGTGTTTCTGACCTTGAAACGGTTGATAAGATCGTATCTGGTAAACAGTTCATAAATCATAAACTTCAGGCTATGTTCTCCACTTGCTTCATTTAAGGCAAATACATCAAAACACCATTTATCAACTTCCTGTAGAAAAAAAGAGTACATACTTCAGGGGGCAAATTCATATAGTTTTGTTTCTTTCTATGAAAGATTATTAGAAAGATCAGGCATTATACATCCAGCAGGCCAGATTTCAATTCAGCACATCAGACTATATTTTTACCAGAGTCTGATATGATAGGGCCACTTAGTATTCATCCATGGGTTCACAAAAGTAAGGTCATAAGGCTTAATGTAGGGCTAAGATCTTCCCCTTAATCCAAGGTTATCAAACAATGTAATAAGCCCGGTAGCACTTTAATACTTCCCTTGTCCTAAATCTCTCTCCAAATTCATGCCCAAAATAATTTTCCCATAGTGGGCCTCATTTTAAGGTAGAATTACAGGTTATGTAGGTGATGTTAATTGAGGGATAAAGGGAAAACATCTCCAATTTCTCTTTCCCACCCACCCACCTGCTATATTGCTTGAAATTCCTCCACAGGAGTAAGTAATTTGGTTTAAATCTTTGATATTTTTATATCTTCTTTTAAAGTGCAAATACCCTTGAGAGTATATACTACCTCACTAATCACTCTAATCTTGGCTGATTCATTTGTACTTTTCTTCAGGGTAAGATGGTAAGATAAAGGATGATAATTTTGGAATTTCACTCAATTCCCTGGGGAAGTGGTCAGGCCTTTGGAGAAAGAAGTATTCTAGGAAAGTGCCCCCTGCTACCGCATGATTTTGCTTAAGGTAATTCCAGGGCAAAAACTTGCAGAGGAGTCCACAGAATGGACTTGTAGCAAGTAATATCAGTCCTGTACATCATTAGGGAGGTTTTCATGTAAAGTTTGAGCTCCCACACTAAATAAATCACTGAAATTTAAAAACCTAAAGAAGTACAGTAGAGTCAGTTCTAATGCTTATCAGAAACTATTAGCCAAGAAGGTCTGATTGCATACACTGCAGGTTTAGTATCTGTAAGTGGACAACCTTAAACCTATGCATTAATTTTGAATTTGAGCAGGCAATTTTTAGAGGGTCACTCATTTAACATATTTTGATGGAGGTCAACTGTCTGTGCTGGAACACGCTGAAACTAAACTGAGAATCTGGTAAAAAGCATTTAAGCAGTCTCCTTTAAAAATATTTCTTTTGAAAAATAGTAATACTAACGTCAAGTGGTCTTTTGAATCACTTGGAAACACCAATGGAATATTTATTGAATTGTGTGTGTACCTTTGTTAAATTCCTTGCATTTGGCCCTAACTTGATGCCTAAACACTTGCGTTATCTGTTTGTCACTTTAGAATCTCTAAGCATTCTGTTCGAAGGCATTTTACCATTAGTGAAGCTCAAAGGAGGCCAACAAATCTTTTATCAAATTCCAAAGCTAACAAAGGAGAATTAGTTCAGACTGTTATAAGGCTGCTATTTACAGTTCCCACCAGGGGTTTCCCACTGGATAAAAGGTTAGTTCTCCATTTTGGGGGGATTTTCATCAACAATGATGATTACAGTTGTAAACTAAGGCAGATGCTTGGCTTTTACATTGTCAGATTGAGAACAAAGAAGATAAGGAGGTATCTCAGGAAATAATTATTTAAGTAAAATAATCTTTAGTAGTGCCTCCCTCAACCTCTTAGTTCATGTTTTTTCTGCACTATGTTTTAGAAAAACATTTGCATTCTCTCATACCTAAATATTTTGTTAGTTGGTTTCTAAGCAGAGGATCTTAAAATAAATAATATACTTTCCCATAGTTGAGGAAATCAAAAGAGCTGAGGAGTAATTAATATCCTATAATGTCGCATTTCAGTTATATAATAACTGGTATATTAGATTTAGAAACATAAAGATAAAAAAGCATCTAAGAAAAACAAACTACTTTTTATGAATTGATAAGATTAAAATCTAATATGCAGCAGAGAAAAAACAAATGCAAAGGGGATACATAGAAGGAAATTAAAGGACAGATGAAAGCATTATAAATTTAAGTTAGTAAAGTAGTTTAATACATCCTTTAAATTCTTGGTTAGTACAGGAAAACCACCATAAAACTTAGAGAAGACAAAGTTGAATTTCCTCTACCTAAATTAAGTGATAGAAGGAAATAAGGAGTGTTGAAGGATGAGCCTTCAAAATGCTTTTGTAGAAATAATGTCTAGGAACAGTACACACACACACACACACACACACACACACACACAATGCAGACCAACAAGAGTGAGCCAAAAACTTTCCTTTTCAAAGAGTTTTGACTCCAGTTATTTCTAACACAGTAAGTATTTTAATACTGCGATTGGGCCTCAGACTAGGGCAGCCACAGGAAAGGCAGAGACAAGAAGACAGAATTATTTTTTTGTTTTCTCTCTTAATTTTATTTTATTTTTTATATTTTTTCTGACCTAAAATTCTAGATAATTTTCTCCGGTATAAGTTTTGTTCTTTAGCTATATTTGCCTGAAACATCTTTTTATAATGCATTCAACTTTTCCATAATATATACAAAACAAAATATGTACAAGTCTCTCTGCTGTCTTAAAGTTGAATTCAGGATCCAAGCATAAATAAGAAAAAAAATCACAGGTGTGTGCACACACATGCATATGCATTGCTATAGTCTGTTAGTGAAAATCAATTCTCAGTGAAATCTACAATGGGTCGTAATTTGAAACACATAACATTTTGTAAAATGGTTAAAATATTTTTTACATACCAATATGTAAGCTGTAGCATAGACCTATTTTCATTTCTTCCTGGCCATTTTAAGAAGATTTTTTTTTAAATGACTATTTGAAAAACTAAAATAATTGAAATTATTTCACCTTTAATGTTACTATGACAGCTTCTGGATATGCCAAACCAACCATGTGATAGGACTTTCTGTACATCCTAAAAAAGAAAAATAAGTATATGTATATATACATATGTATCATTTACTCAATATAAACATAAGGGAAATGATTACTTTTGACTAGTTCCAACTTTTATCATTAATTACAGGCTGCCTTTGTGACAACAATGATAACAGCCACCACTGATTAAGCATCTATAATGTGACAGACGTTAATAGTATTTTATTTACTCACAACCACCCTATGAAGCTATTGCGATTTGAGTTTCTAGGTAAAGATGTCTTTGACTTCATCTAATTAAAATGGGCTGGCCTTTGTATATGCAAAAACACTTTCTAGCATGTCACCATATCACTGACAGCAGAAGATGCTTGTTTTGCATCCATTTGTGTACCAAAATTTTTAGTCTGGAAGTTGAATGTCACTAAAATATTTCTTTTAAGATTTTTTTCTACAAAATGGAAATTATAGGAGGGAATATGTAGCATTATAAGAATTTGCACAGCCTTTTTTTTTTTTTTAAGTTAAGAATATTGGGGAAACAATATTGACAAAAATTTGTTCAGACTGTCATTTAATATCATTTTCAGAAATATTATACAGAAAGAACAAAGTTATCCCCTTTTTATAATAGCATAAATAACAAAAATACTTTTATTAATCAGTAATTTGTTGGACTTTTTCCATCTTTCGGTGGGCAACCAAGATGTCTATCAAGAACCAAATATAATAAATTCCCCCATCAATTCATATGAGAATAAAATCAATGTGATACCCTAAAGTAAACAAATAGTAATAAGCTTGTATTCTACACATGGTTCCTTCACAAAGTCCTGGAAACAAAGAATTTAACTGATTATTAATCCTATGCATTAATTTTTATATCATTAGTTCAAAAGCAGACTGCATTCCTGGACTATATTGCTGTAACTTCTCCCCCAAAGTGCCTAAACAAAACCATAATTTAATGATTTTATCATTAATTTATATTAGAGTTCAGTATAATAAATAGTCATTTGAAAAATATTCTTCACCTTCTATAAAACCACTGAGGAAAATATTAACCTTTTGATTTAATTTACATTATATTTAAAATCTGTAAGACATATTACTCAATTTCTATGTAAAAGTTATCCTTTTTGTTTTTTCAAGATAATAAAAGTCAAGTAATTTATCATGTTTTCCTTTTAAATCTCTCCTTCTTGGAATGTCGGAATTAAAATATTGTTTATGTTTATCTCTAGCCTAGATTTTCTTGATAAAGCGTCTCCCCACTTTANTCTCTCCTTCTTGGAATGTCAGAATTAAAATATTGTTTATGTTTATCTCTAGCCTAGATTTTCTTGATAAAGCGTCTCCCCACTTTATGACAGAGATGTTACTTTATTCTCATGTTATGTTTATTTTAAATGACTTTAAATAATTTTTGGATGTGAGTGATCAGTTACAGTAACTATATTATCATCTACTATGTTTGAAGATTTCAGAGCAGTTTATAAATAAAAATACTTACGCTAATTGCTCCATTGAAATAGGACTAGTTGTTCTAATCTTGCAAGGCAAGGAAACCATAATCACACTATAAAATACTCAGAAAGTAATTATTGTCAGTAATAGTACTTATTAGGGTGTTGTTGTTTTAGGAAACAGTCTTTTCTATCCATTTTCTCTAAAAAAAAAAGTGTAAGTACAGGGGAAATGAAAAGGTAACAGGCAAGGATAAAAAGGTCAATGTACAAATCAGTAGGAATAAGACATTTAAAAATTAAGTAACATGAAGTCAGTGTGATGTAACGGCACAAAAGGCAGTGTGGTGTGGCAGAGAACACGTGCCCTGACTAACAGGCCGGCCGCTCAGTAACTGCGTGCGGGCTTTGGAAAACTATCCAGTGTCACTCATCTGGAAAATGAGAATAATTGTAAGATTTCTGTGACAAGTACATAATATAAATGCCTAGCATAATATAAGTACTCAATACAAGAAAGTCATTATTATTATTAATATTACTGTTCTCATTACTCTGCAGCTAGTACCTTTGGTTCCAATTCTTAACGTTCTTTAGGGCTCTCTGTGCTCAGTAGGGACTCTGGTGCTACTAAGTTTCTTAAATTTGCAGTAGGTTAAGAAATAAATATCAGTATGTATTCTCATTATATGGAACATAAAAAAAGACAAAAAAGAGGACACCCCCCCCAAATTGATAGAGAAATTTTCCCATTATCATTTTCTAATCCTATAATTGGGAATAAAATGTTGAGATAAAAATTAGAAAAAGAAAATTCAGATAAGCCATCCTGGAATCAGAATGAGTGTGGGAGAAAATTAATACAGTTGCCTCACACTTGAGTAAATAGTTTATATATAACAAGTTGATGAAAAAGAATAATTAATTTCCTGGACTCTTATAGGTGGTAAACCCTCTAGCTGGAAATATGACGGATTATTTTTGAAAGTTTTGAGTATAGTTACAAGATATAATTCAAAACTTAAAAAAAAACACCTATTTATGCCAGACACTCTGCTAGGCAACAGATTTATTTATTTTTTAATCCTCACCTGAGGATATTTTTTCCATTGATGTTTTTAGAGACAGTGAAGGGGAGGAGGGAGGGGGGAGAGATAGAAAACCACTGATGTGAGAGAGACACATGGATTCGTTGCCTCCTGCAGGGGTGACACTCCAACCACTGAGCCAAATTGGCCAGGGCTAGGCTACAGATTTTTTAGTGGCAAATAAGAAAAATATAGTTTCGACTTTCATGGAACTTAGTCAGTGGTGAAGGGGAACAATAAATTAGAAACAATATATGATTACAGCTGTAAAAGCTGTGAGGTAAACCACTGGCCGGGACAGAGAAAGTGATGAACAGTATACAGTGATCTGGAATGGCCTCTGGAAAGGTAAGAAGGGCCAGCTAGGGCAAGGGTGGGAAATCATTTCTGATAGAGGAAATAGCAGGATTCAGGGCCTCAAGGAAGGAAGGAGTTTAGGGATGTGTGTGAAGTTGAAATCAGACTGGTACAGATATTCAGTCAAGAAGGTAACAAAAAGGAGGCCTAATCTTGCAAAGCCATGATACAGGCATTGCTCCAAATACCAAGTGAAAAGAAAAACCATCAGATAATTTTAGGCTTAAGAGTGACAGGAACTAATTTATATTTTAAAACAGTATTGTAGGATCACTAGTTAGGAGAAGGCAGGTGAGGAAGAAGGGAGCCCCATTTGAAAGCTATGGTCATGCTTCTGATGGCAGGTGCGGAAAGCTTGCATTGGTCTTGCAGGAGTGGAGGTGAGAAAGGGAGTCTATTCAGGGCACGTTTGAGTAAGCAAATTGCCAGGACTTGCTGAGGCACTGAATGTTGGGGAAGGTGCTCGAGGGAAGGCTCAAAAAGACTTCTAACTTCCAAGGTGCAGGATGATTATCTTTGAAAAAGAGATAAACATATCCCACTATTCTTATGCCCTTGCTAATGGGGATTCAAGGGTATTAAAAAATATTTCATTTCCAAGTGTTCATAGCACATTGCTTTCTTCAAGACTGCTTACTAATTTAGTTACCTTAAGTACATTTTGATATTTCTATAGGTTATTAAATTAAATATTTTGGGTAGAACATAAAAAAAAATTTAGCATGTCAATATATTTAATAGAATTCTTAATCCTCTACTGAATGGAAATGGAAATTGATTTACTTCCACACTTTGCATTTCTTTTCAGTTTGCCAAGTTCTGCAATATTTTCTTAAATGAGGAAAGAACACCAAAATATACATTGCTTCAGTAAATCAAACATTGTATCTGTGATTCTCTCGCTGACTTTCTGAACTACTATTTAGATATTTTGAATTTGATTTTATGAAAAAAAAAAAAAAAATCAATAGCTATGGCATACTTGCCTGAGTTTTTAAAATAGGGATATGGTTAGAGAAATTCTTTCTCTCCAGCCCTGACTCCCTGCTTCAGACTTCTGGTCCATCTGGCAGAGTTGGGACCAGTTTATATACTCAGGATGTGTGCATGTGTGTGTGGGGGGGGGGAGGGGGTGTCACCTCACCAAACTAATCAAATTGCTTGTTATGAGGATTCTTTTATCAAAGCCAATTAGATAGGATTAAGAAATACTCAAAATAATTTGAGTAGTCATTGAGTGGTTGTTATTTTGGGGTAACACAGACATGAGCCAAGAGTCGATAAACTTTATGTGCTGTGGTTACAATAAATCTTTAAGTCACACTGAATACTTTTTTTATAAAAAATTATTTTTTAATTACAGTTTACATTTCAAATTATTTTGTATTAGTTTCAGGTGACACACTGAATACTTCTTGCAATGCATTCTCATTTTCATTTTTCAGAAGCCCAAGCCTGCTTCCCATTCTTCCGAACAGAAGAAAATTATAGTTTATAATGTTCATTAGTGTTAATGACTAGAAATGTCAGAAGATAAAAAAATGATGTGATTTTCCTTAAATTTAATTTTAAGTACATTGACAAAAAATTTCCCATTTCCCTGTTCCTCAGTTTTATTAGTCTCAAAATCTTTTTATATAAAATTTAAAACCATGCAATTGCTTTTTAATTTAAAGAAATTCTAATAACTAATTTTTGACATTGTCAGATGTAACATGTTTCCTTCAAGTCTTTTTGTAGTTTTAGTTTTGGAACATCTTGTTTCCTAGACAGAAAGCCAAGTTGTGTTGTTAAGGGCTAGCAATGCAAAATTGGGCTAGAGTAACATGTATTCCACATGAGAGACTCTGGTGGTTTCGTTCAGTGCTTCTAGGGGCCATCAAGGAGCCCTTGCTTCAGTGACAGAAATGTTAAAAAACAGCAACTCCAGAAGTGGACCTGAGAGAGCTCTCCTCCTACAATGAGAAGAGACTAATGGTATTTTTCTTTAGTGCAGACAAAGGCCTGTTTGATTCTGGCATGTAGTATAGAATTTATTTATGAGGTGATACAACTGAGTCCGGTAAAATTCGTTGTGAGACATATGGATGTATTATAATTCTTTTTAAATAGTTATTCACAAAAGTTCATTCAAGAGCCAAAAGCCTTTGCCTTTAGTCTTTATGTCAATTTAAAATAAATAAAAATAATAATCCAGGATAGGAGATTTTTGTTATAGGTAAGTTCATCATAAAGTCCTCGATCTGTTCATTCTAAGTATACTTACGTCTGCAGTTTTCCTCAGTAAATAAAATATAGGCTCCCATGACTTCGACAGAGTTCTGCCTTTCAAACTTTGTCTTGAGATACCAGAAATTTCACTTACCTTTCCACAAAAATCCCAGCTTGAACAGCATGCACAATGCTCCGAAACTTTGGCTTCTCCTCAGATTTCTTTTTCATGATCCCCATTTTCTGTGTAAAGGTCGAAGCCAGCCAGTCCCGGACTTCCAGTGGGACCGAATCTGACTGGATGTCACCAAGCTCATCTTCGGTATCCAGCAGTCTTCTACAAAAATGCATACCGATTAAAACTATGGAAAAACTTAAGAAAATAACAATAAAACAAGCATTGCAATAGGATTTAAAATATACAAATAATTTTCTGATCATCCCTTAATATGAACTACCTAAAAAAAGAAACATGATTGGATTAACATTCGGAAAGCTCTGAATTTCTCACATTGAACACTTTCTCAAGGTCAGACTAATGGACTTGAGCATTTGCAGATTCCCTATCATTTAAGTACACTGATTCCAGCCTGGAGATATCAGTTGTTAATATCATTAATATACTATTGTAATGATAAGTAAAACTGAGATGAGGTTGGGGAGAAAGGCCATAAACAGATGCCTGCTATTAAAGGAAGCAACTGGAATTCAATAAAAAGGGGGGGTGGGGTAGAAGCCCTCAAAATTGTCATATTTAATTATCTTGTGTACCTATGGTACAGATAGTACATACTATTTCAATAAGGCCTTGGAATTTATAAAAGTCATTCACATGTGCTACTTCATTTGCTTGGTATCTCTAAATTTTAGGAAAATAATAGCATAAGTGCTCTATGTTGATATTAATTCTGATATCAACATCACAGATTTAAAAAGTGGAAAAAATAAAGGTGAAAACAGACAGATTATTTGGAAAACTCATTTTAGGTGACTGAACTAGTGTAAGTGGAAAAGAAACACCTCCAGTTATGAGCAAATGCTGTCTTGTGGGTGGAGATCTGAGGGCTTCGGAACTGCTGGCTGAGAAAGTCCACTGAGGGAGGGGGAGTTAACAGGACTGAAACCATTGCACTGCCGCTCTCCCACATACGCTCCAGGCAGACAATGTTGACCAGCCTGATAATGCTGATGACTTTATGGCCATACATCCTAAACTTACATCAGCTGTCACTAAGGCTGGTCAGCTCCAGGGATCTAGAATTTCCTAAATGTCTAAACTGGCAAGAGAGTGTGAAAGGGTCCCCACAAAATACAAAAACAGCTTTGCAGACACACCAGGCTTTGCCTCCAGGAAGCACACAGGCCAGCTCTGCCTGTCGCTTTATTCAGTTATTTCCTTGTCAGCGCACCAATTTAATAACTCAGAGTTATTTTTGGCACACGTTCGGTTTGACCTCTGGGTTCCATTTGCTCTGGTAAATCTCTTTGCACAGAGTGAGGCCTAAAGATTATGAGGCGATGGAAGGCAGGCAGGCAGAGATGAGAGCCGGCGTGTGCTAAATTATCCAGAACAAGTCACATACCATCTTGAGGGAACAGGGACCAAGGAAAGGGCAAAAGAGGAGGACCACCAGATACTACCAAAAAGATCAAAAGATAATACCGCCTCCTCTGTGTGTTGCCATTTTCTAAAAACTTTCCTAGGACCGTCATTTGCCAATAGTTATTTCTCATGCTATTAATCATGAAAGCGTTTATGAAATAACACATGAAAAATAGACACAACTTAAGTGCTAGAGTTACAAAACTACATGTATACATATGAAGATAAGAAAGATTTCCATAGTTGGAAGTTAATACTGGTTAATACTTACTGTAGGCAATTTTTAATTCTCTTTTGGGTCTCAAATTTGGACGATTTTGATTTAATCTTACTACAAGGACATTGTAATTCACAGCAACATATTTTTCTTCTTCTGTTCATTTTAAATTAGATTCCTTAGCCAATTGCAGCAAGATAGTATAATACATGGTTTGAAAATTTCATGGCTTATGCCATTTCTATTATTTCTTGTGTAGTAATAAAATAAAACCACAGAGCAGAACATGCGGATGGGAACCACTGTGGTGTAATACTGTGATGTCACTGTGCTCCAAGAATTCTACTCCTGCCTGGTCTTATCAACTACTGTAAGTGGAATGACAGACACATAGTAAGGCTGTCAATTACTTCTTTGATGTTGATGACTTTATGGCTATGTGTCCTAAACTCATAAATTGTTCAAGCCAGATGATTAAACATGACAAAAATCAGCATATGGAAATGAGAGTTCCTTAGTCATGGGGCATGATGTCATTTACTGAGAAGGAAAGAGCCTGTACTCTCAGGGAGAAAGAATGATATGGGTTAATTTGTGGACATAGGAAAAAGAAAGACTGTGTGCAAAGAGAAAAGCATGGAACAGGCTATTTTATAACTAAAAAGGCAAATCTTGAAAAAACAACCTCTGTGATGGCGTTTTACATGTTAACATGGCTGGGTTATAGCCTCCAGTTGTTTGGTCAAACGGCAGTCTAGATGTTGCTGTGAGGAAGAGTTTAGATGTAATGAACATTTAAATCAGCAGACTTTGAGTGAAGCAAATTACCTTCCATAATGTGAGTGGGCCTTATTCAATCACATAAAGGCTTTAAGATTTAGAGATAGGATGGAGGTCTCCCAAAGGGGAAGAAATTCTGGCTCCAGACTGCCTTCAGACTCAACATCGCAACATCACTCATGCCAGAATTTCCAGCCAGTGTCAGCCTGCCCTGCAGAATTCCACTTTGCCATGCCCCCAAAATAACATGAGCCAATTCCTTAAAATTTCTCTCTCTTCAATGCCTTGAGGTTAATAAAATATTATATATAGTTTACATAAAATAAAGGCTAAAGATCTATCTATCATCTGTCTACCTACCTATATACCTAAGAAAGAATATTTTCATAGTTCATGAACACTATGTGGTAAGTACCAGCATGGCTTATAAATCAGGTAGAAGATATATTATATTAATATTCATTTCATAGAGCATATCAATCCTAATTCTAGTTTTAAGTAATAAAAATGCTGTTTGCAAGAGACTAAAATGCTTTTTTAGCCATTACGGATCTAAACACCTTCCTGTCTTTTCATGGCTTACTAGCTCATTTTTATATTGCCAAATAATATTGTATTGTATGGATGTACTATAGTTTGTTTATATATTCTACTATTAAAGGACACCTTGGTTGCTTTCAAGTTTTGGCAATTATGAATAAAGGTCTTATAAACATTTGTGTGCAGTTTTTCAACTCATTTGAGTAAATACCAAGGAGCACGATGGTTGGAACTTCAGGTAAGAGTGTGTTTAGTTTTTCAGGAAACTTCCAAATGGTCTCCCAAAGTGGCTGTACCATTTTGCGTTTCCACCGGCAATAAACGAGAGAGAGAGGCCAAGCCACCTTCATGGTTTGCTTGGCCTACTGCAGTAGCCTCCTAACTGGTCTCTAACCCTCTTCAGTCTCTTCTTTCCTCTGCAGCCGGTATCCTCTTTTAAAGTATAAATTAGACCAAGTCAGTGCCTGATCCAAGAAGTCCTACACAGCTCATCCAAGCTCTGTCTCCACCTTCACCTCTTCACCAGTTCCCCCGCAGTCATTTTGCCCCAGTGCCCCTGGCCTCCTTGCTGCACTCGAACCTGCCAAGTTTGTTTCTGCTTCAGGGCTTTGCACTTGCTGCTCCCTCCGTTTAGAATCTCTTTCGGTGCTTGCGGAGATCCCTTCCTCACTGCATTCAGGTAGAGAGGTCTTCCCCCAGCCCCTTACTCAAATGGTAAACGCCTTTATTCTTGTTCCCCTCTTCAGACTTTGTAGCACTTACCAGTGCCTGATATCGTGCCAGAGGCTTACTAGTTTGCTTATTCACTTCATGTTTCATCCACTGACTGCAAAAACCTGGAGAACAGAATGGTTCTGTTTCTGTGCATCGCTGTATCAGCGCATCTACAACAGTGCATGGCACAGATGGAGCATCAACATATACCTATTAAATGACTGGAAAGCATCTGGAAATATTTACACTGAACTGTTATAAGTGATTAGCTTTGGGGAGCGCAGTGAGGATGGAGATGGGAGAAGTTTTTTAGAGTCCTGTGTTATTTGATTGATAAGCAGCATGCAGGGAGAAATCCGCTGTTGGCAACGATCTCTTCATTGCCTTTCGCTTAATGCGCCCTTTGTCATCCCTGGGGAAACATATATTTGGCATGGAAAAGATATTAAACATTTTTATAGCATTTTAAATTAAAGGTATAGGAATTTAAAAAACTGTTTGTACTGTTTCCATGCCTTTAGCCAAGGACCTCAGTATTTCTGTTAAATAATAACTCTTTTATGCTCACATATCGAGTATGGTAAGAAACTCCTAATGAAGACATAAGTTATAGCAGATTCATTATGAAAGACAAATGGATAAAACCTAAATTTAAACACACTAAAAAATAAACCAATACACCTAGTGGTACATTTACCCTCCATCTCTTTCTTCTGCCTTATTTGTTTTCCTTTCGCTGGCACCTGCTTGTACACTCTGTCTTCCTTCCTCTAAGCACCATAAGAAACTCTTCAAGCTTCATTTGACCAGATAGGGCAGGAACAAAAACTACAGTATAACATAAAATAGTATCCTGGCTTTTGTTAGAGAATTACCATTAACAACTTTCCTACATATTTATCTAAGATGTGAAATAGCTGAATACTTACATAAGAGTATGTCACATGTAAAACTTGTAAGTCTATAGTCTGCCCTCATTTTACTTTTGAAATAAGTTTATGCAAGTAGGTTGGTAAAATGGGACATTAAATACTATAATGAATTTTGCTTTCAAAATATCCAACAGCTTTACTCCCTTTATCCTATACCTTTGTGTTAGATGGCAGTGTGAGCATAATTCTTTACGCTGCAGTGCTCTTAAAAAATTGAAGACTGGCATTTAAGAAATTAACAACATAAAAGAATCACTGGTGCATTTTCCTTCAAAATCTGTACAATGCACTACACAGAAAAGAATGATAAGGACTATATGTATAAAACGTTATCACTGTTGACCTTGGAAAAATGCGTCTACTGGTGTTTGATGCAACTTTTTTAATCCCAGTGGAGTGAATAAAGCAGAAAGTGAGGGACCCCTAAATATGAACTGTGTTTATGGGGGCCTGGCAAGCTGTGAAAACTGACCCTGCATCTAATCAGTGCTCAACTGATCCTTGGGAGATATTTATATTCCAAATTTTCTCCCAAAATCAGATGACGCAAC